CGGTTGGTGCGGTGATAATAAGACAGCCACCCACACTCCATGTCAAAAACTTGTCTTCAAAAATCCACGAAATAATCGATTTTTGTTAACAAGATTTGATATTCAGCGTCCTTCAATTTTCATGAACTTCTCGTGAAATTGGTTCTATGTTTGTTTGACATTCATTTTGTTCAATAGATACTTTATTGAAAAAAACCACTAATGAAGAGAACAACGTTTTATCTTATCGACAAGTTTATTTTATGAATGAAAATTTATTTATGTACCATTTGGTGTTTTCCTTCTTCTAAATGAATCATCGCAGAGAAGTTTTATATTAAAAAAAGGAAGACGAAGAACGTAAAACCAGAATTGCTCGATCAGCAATTACAAAGCATTATAAAAAGTGCACATGGTTGTGCTCTGTTCTGTTTGCAATAAGGAAGTAATGAAAGAGAAAAAAATTATATACGTTTTTATACTTCAATTTTTCACTTTGCATGTCCTTTCACAGATTATTCTATTGACTAAATTTCACAAATATTGCAGAATCGTAAATAAATATGTATCAAATCAAACGACAATCAAGTTTCAGTGAATCTCTTAATGCTGAAAACAAGAAATCACGAAGTAAGTCATACATTGCATATATAATTCGAATGAATTCGCTTTTTAATTTTCTTATATTCACATAATAGCATTTAGTGAAGATAAGTAAGTAATGAAAAATATTTTCTCATTATATCATATATTTTTTATTTTAATCTTACAAAGTATATCAATCATCTGCATTGAAAATCTTTCAAATGAACTTTTTTATGAAATATTTGAATATCTTGATGGTTATGATATTTACAAAGCATTTTGCAATCTTAATACTCGTTTTCAACGTCTTATGACTTGTTCATCAATTTCAATCAATATTAAACTGTGTTCTAACGCACCATCAGAAGTCAAACATTGCTGTAAAACTGTTATTATCCCAAATGTACATCGTATTCTTTCACTTGAATTGTATCATCAATTCATCATTTCATCGTCTTCAGTCAATAGTTTTGCGTCGCATATCAATCGATCGAGGTGTAGTTCTTCTTTTTTATTTAAAATCTTTGCTTCGCCTCTTCTCATTGACTATGAATATTGAAGAAGAATGGAATGCTGATCTCAGTGATATCTATATCGAATGATTTTCTCGTTATCTTCTTTAAAATACAATAAATTGTCGTTATTCTCATTGTTTGATGTTGAAAATGCGAATATTTTCGTACCTTTGGTTCCCAATGAACAGTTCAGTACTATTGAATATCTTGTTATCAATCATATTTGTACTCTTAGTGACCTTATATCTATACTCTATCATACACCTCAACCCCGCTATTTAATTTGCGATAACTTAGTAGAATCAGATTCTAATGTTCAAACTGAACAATGAATGACATTATCCAATTTAGTGTATATTCGTATTAATGTGTGTGATATAGACTTTGATAAATTTGAGATATTTATGAAAATATTTTGTCAATTACAAGTATTGCATATTAGTCAAGAATATGGTAAAGCATATCTCGATGCTGATCGATGGAAACGATTAATCATAAAACACATGCCACATTTGCGTAGGTTCAATTACCAATATTCCGAATATGATTACGATTTTTATAAAGACACATCTCTCGATGTAGTCATCAATCGATTCATTTCACCGTTTTGGGTTGACAGAGGATGGATATTTGAGTTAGAAATTAACAATAAAAAAATCAGTTTTTTAATTCAACCGTATACGTATATCATAAAAACCTTTTGTATCAATATATATAACCTTTTATTTTAGGAAAACATGGTTTGATTTTGAAGAACGCACAGAAAATATCACATATTCTGATCGACATATTAATCAGAAATCAATAGAATAGTTGAATATTTCTAGTCGAAAAAGTATTGACAATGTTTTGACTCAAATTAATTCAATTATTCAGCTTTCGATCACTGGTTGCTCTTCTAGGGAACAAAATCAGACATTTATTGATGACTTCAAGTGCACGTTTGTGTCAGTTCAGTTTACTCATTTGAATATTAACTGTAAGACGATTCCTATTGGAACTTTACTAAGAATTATATATTTATTGCCTAATTTTGATTCATTGAAAGTATCATCTTTACTACTCATGGACCCAGATTGGATGTTTAAAAAAGATGCTGAGTTTCTTTATATAGTATCGATCAATAATAAAATTGCAAAACTTAACCTTGAGAAGATGAATGATGATATCGAACAAGTGAATTTTCTTCTCTATTTTTGTCTTCGTATACAATATTTTTACATGAACGTTTCAGAAAATATGGATATAGAAATGCTTGTACAATTTATTTTGATAAAACTCAATACATATATTCCTTATCTCACTTGTTTATGTCTCAATATTCGAAATGGCAACGAAAAAATAGTTCATAAATTACAAAAAATGATTGATACAGAAAAGTGATTGGCTAACTATACAATTAAGCGTATCTGTGATAATATTGTTCTGAAATGAAACTAATCTTGATTTATCAATTTTGATGATATTTATAGAATAATCAAGAAATGTATTCATATCGATGTCAGTACATACGTTTTTAAATTATGTAGATGCTAAACTATCAAGTGTTAGTTTTTCCAAATAAGGACTTTTCTTTATTATATACTAGCGAGAGGGCGTGGGAGTGGGTATCGGTGGGCGCGGGTGTGGCTGTGAGTGTGGATGGGTGTGAGTGTAGGTGTGGATGTGAGTGTCCTTTGGCCCATACATATCACACCCACACCCTTCAATTGTTAAAATCTATTTTGAAACGATTTTAGTCTTTGGAAAGAATTTTTCGGAGACTTCGAGATTTCGCATCACTATACATATACAGACACGACTCTCTTATAGGGAGTGCTCGGAAATCGTGATTTCACATGAAAAAGGGATTTATTACTGGATGAACTTGATCGAATTTGGATGCAGTTCCGTTGTTTATTTTAATTCATTTCACAAAAGAAACCTAAGTGAAAAAAAACAAAGTTAGATAATGAAAAAGACAATAAAGTCTGAAAGCTTCAAACTGGTAACTGAAATTCTTCGAATATTAGTTTTAATCATTGAGCAAAATCATGTATGAGGCATATATTTCAATTCGATTCTGAATTAATTCGTCGTCTGTTCTATTTTCATTTCATTGAACATTCATTAGGTTATATGCGTTGAAAACATTGACAGATAGATATATTTCAATTAGGAGATGTTAGATTCTCATTTGTTTTCATAAAATAATATGATGGTATAAAATTATCCGCTTGTTTCATTATACTGTAGTTATAATTGGGTTTTTTTTCTGAATAAGTTATATCTTAAGAAAAGAAATCATCAAATTATAAGTATTCTACGTTTTTTTCAATGATCTGCCTGAATTCAATACTAATGATAAGTTGGTTTATATCAATGAATAAAATAATTTTTTTTTATCAGTATTGTTTTGAAAAACTTGTCAGCGCTGTTTCAAAGGGGCTGAAATATGGAACTCACATATCTTTAGCTTCATTATACTAATACAAAATACGTAAAATGAATAATATGTAACAAACGATAATTGCTTTCTAAGAATAATCTATCATTAGAGAACCCATCTGCCTTATTTAGATTAACAACAAAATTTTCCTTGTTGTCTAGTAATCAGTCAATCTTTCATTGCTGTTGGTCAGTTAATTTGTTATCACCATTGGATGAGCTTTACTTTTTTTTAGGAACCATGGTAAAATTTATTAAAATATCTCAACCTTGCCGCAAAATACCTATTTTCAATGCAAAAAAAGCTTAAATTTTTTTTGTAAAAAACGGAAACTATTAAAAACTTTGCCCTAAAACGAGATGCCCATTTAAAAATCATGTTGTGTCTGAAAGAGAAGAACTTTTTTGTGGGAACCTTAATCAATTCAAGATCTAAAATTTTATTTGATACATTTCACATATTTTTTCTTTCTTTCTTCCTATTGAATTTTCTCATACGAACTACACTTCGTCTATATAAAAAATATTTCTTTCAATCGAAATTAAAATGCAATAAATGTTGCGATCGATCTGTTCTGTTTACTGCACCTCAAACAAATACATCATCAGTGCCAGTGGCTTTTTTCTCACATGTCGATCAATGTTGCTTACAGTTTCAAGTGGAATAACTAAATAACATAAACAATATATACTTTATTATTATACACACTAGAGGCCGTTCTAGCCAAAATGCATCGTCGTTGTTGTATAATTATTATTTCAAGTTTCATGTAAAATCTTGCACTCTTCTAGCCCTCGATAATTTTTTCTAGTTTTTTTCATTTTTTGTAAGATTTCGATGGCGTCAAGTGGTAACTTGACAGAAACTAGTAGTCAATAAACTTCTACAAAAATACAAAAAAAAAATTTCTTTCTTGTTTCATCTCGAGAGTAGTGTATTCGTTATAGGAAAAGGTTATATGTGAATAAGAATAACGAACTACTCATCATATTGTTATAGTTAATCCTCACTGAACATAACTTAATCATACGTGTTTTTTCCACATATTTAAAAATATGCAAATGAATTGATGAAAATAAAAGATATTTCTGATGACGTATTCCGTTAGATACCATATTTTCTAATATGCATGAAAATTTTTTTAGGTCTGCAATACAATCGAAGCTGATTAGCGTGGTGATCGCTCACTAATAAGTTGATGGCATAGCAACAATAAGTCTATAATTATTTTTCTTTTATACAGTAGGACTATCATTTCCACTGTTTGTTATTTTTCGCAAAAAAGAACGTAAAAAAATCAGCAGAAGCTGACCTCTTTTGTCTCGCTTTGCTTCACAAAGAAATAGTACCACCAATGCGGATAACAGTTTTTTTTTCTTTTCTGTTCTCTATGAAATTATCAACAGTTATGCACTAACACAAGGTCAGTAATAGTAGAAAAAAACCGTAGCTAAACATAGAAATATTCCACTTTCGACGCAATCAACTCATTAATGTTTTCCGGAGTGATCAATTTACAAAGGTTAGTTTTAATTAAAACATACTATTCTATCTTAGGATTTTATTCTAGAATATTAGAAGCAACAAAAGACCACGCGAATGTTGTTGTACCTGAATTAGATCGTTTACTTAAACTTGATCCATATCTTGCACCATATCAAGATGAAATTCGAAGACGGTAAAAAAAAAATCATGTAAAATCAATGATGATTTGTTTTCTTTTTGTTTTTAGTTATTACGTCTTTCAAAAACTTCTTAAACAACTTGAAAGTGAAGAACAAAGTATCGATGTATTTACATCTGCCTATAAACACTTCGGTATTCATGTTAATTCCCGAACAAATGAAATAAATATTAAAGAATGGGCACCTGGTGCAAAAGCAATGTATATTCGTGGAGATTTTAGTTTGTATTGAAAGTTTTATTAAAATAATCTTTCGCTTTTTTGTTTTTTAATCTAGATAGTTGGCAAGAAAAACAATATCCATTTACACGTGATCAATATGGTGTATGGAGAGGTACACTTCCACCTTTACCCGATGGATCGCCAGCAATCAAACATGGTCAAGCAATAAAAGTAATATGCAAAAAAATACTCATCGTCTACAAATAAAAAATTTTCTTTTAGTTACTTTTGAAAACTTCTGATGGTGAATTAGTTGATCGTATTTGTCCATGGTCACGTTATGTACAACGTCCAGAAAAAGTCAATGTATATCATGGAGTATTTTATAATCCATCGGAGGATCAAATTTATAAATTTAAATATCCTCAACCAAAAAAACGTGATCGATTAAAAATTTATGAAGCTCATGTTGGAATTAGTTCATCAAAAGAAGAAGTTTCTACATATGAAAATTTTCGTATTAATGTTATTCCTCATATTGTCAAACAAGGTTTATTTATAATAATATTCTCGAATTTTAATAAATAGATGTTGTTTTTTTTTTTTCATATAGGCTATAATACAATTCAATTAATGGCTATTATGGAACATTCCTATTATGGTAGTTTTGGTTATCAAGTAACCAATTTTTTTGCTGCATCAAGGTTTAATTTATTGAAATAATTTATTGAAATAATTTATTTTTTGATTAGTTTATCTGTATTCTAGCCGTTATGGTACACCGGAAGAATTAAAAGCATTAATTGATGAAGCACATAAACATGGCTTAACTGTTATACTTGATCTTGTGCATAGTCATAGTTCGAAAAATGTTCTTGATGGACTTAATATGTTTGATGGTACAGATGGTTGCTTTTTTCATGATAGTCCACGTGGTTATCATACACTTTGGGATAGTCGATGTTTTAATTATCTGGCGTAAGTTTACATATCTACAAAATTGAAGATTTCGCCGCATTTCTGTACTTTCTCCGATGGACAAATAAAAGTTCTTTTTTTCATCACTTAATATTGAATGGTCTTAATTCGACCATCGATTATGGTCTTGGCATATGACTGATTAACCAAAGTCACAAAGAAAGAAATTCATCATGTACCAAAAAATGATCTTGTTTATAGTGTCAAAAATTAGTCACACAGAAATTTGTTCATTTTGAAAACAAACAGTCCAACTATAAAATCAGCTGTCCTTTGTAAATTGTAGAGCTGCCCATACTGTATCTTGTGATATATTATATTTTGTTTAATACAACGTATTAGATGATAAAAAAGGGGAATTTTTTTTTGTCCATGGGTCTGAATATGTGAGAATTAAGAAATGAGAACAGGATTTTGATTTTTGTTTTTTTTTCATATAAATATATCGATTAGTATTTTTAATCTAGACGTGAAGTAATGCGATTTCTTCTTTCTAATATTCGATATTGGTTAGAAGAATTTAAAGTTGATGGATATCGATTTGATGGTGTGTCATCAATGCTTTATCATTCACATGGCCTCGGTAATTTCTAATTGAATTTACTCATATCTAATAAACTTCTTTTATAGGACATGATTTTTCTGGTACATATAAAGAATATTTCGGTTTAGCAACGGATACTGATTCATTTAATTATCTTCAATTAGCTCATCATGTTATTCAAACACTTTTTCCTGAATCAATAACAATTGCTGAGGTATTTTTTGGCGATTATCGAAAAAAGAAAAAATCTGTAATTGTAAATCATTTATTTGAAAGGAAGTGTCAGGCATGCCAACATTATGTCGACCACTTGCTGAAGGTGGTGCTGGTTTTGATTATCGTTTAGCTATGGCGATTCCGGATCTTTGGATTAAAGTTTGTGTTTTCTTAAAAATAAAAACTTATTTCGTTTTTTTTAAGTTCCTAAGAGACATAAGGGATGAAGATTGGGAAATGGGTCATATAACATGGGTATTAACTAATCGTCGATGGTTAGAAAAAAATGTAGCTTATGCTGAAAGTCATGATCAAGCACTTGTGGGTGATAAAACAATTGCACACTGGTTATTTAATGAACAAATTTATACTCATATGTCGGTTCTTACTGAACGAACACCAGTTGTTGAACGTGGTTTAGCTTTACATAAAATGATTCGTTTAGTAACATATGCATTAGGTGGAGAAGCTTGGTTGAATTTTGAAGGTAAAGGACGAGGGCGGATAAGATCATTTTTTTGCTCTCTAACAAAATTAGTTCATTTTTATCAATTTAAAGTAAGACATCACTCCTGGTGATATTCTATAGGTTTTTTTCGTATAGCTCACCAAAAGGTTTTTCGGACCTGTGGTTCCCCACAAGGTTCTCTGAAAAACTTTTCTTTTGATTTCGGTTAAACACGTATTTATTGATAGAGTCAAGTGTGCTGATTACGAATATCAATATATTAAGTGCTGAAAGCTTTTTAGTAAACAAAAAATCAGCTCTTTTTTTGAGATGCTCGTTTGGCTTTATATCTAGATTTTTGGCTCTGTATCTTCATTCATTATTCTAACCTTATGAAAAGACATTCATAATAGCTAAAACAATGTGATCTTGTTGAATATGAACTATGAAAGCTCCTTCAGAGCATCATCGGCTATAAAACCTGGGATTACTGGTCAAAAACCTGATTTTTTACTAAGTTCCACAGAGATTGGAGTTTCCTAATCTTTTGATAGTAGATTAGAACTAATGTGAAATTTGGACTGAATACTTAATTTTGGATGCTCTATCCAATGATGGATTCAAAAAGCCGAAGAAAATGATGCGTCGAAGTTTTTAGGGTTTTCTGGAAAACCTTTTTAAGATCCCAAGGATTTCAATAAGAACCGACTTCACCATTGTGTTCAGCATCTGTGGGGCTAATCATAAAAATGTATGTTCTGATCCGGCATATTAGAAATATTTGGATTACGAAAGAACTGTGTACAACGGCTATTTGATGTGCTGAATACAATTGTGAAGTCAATTCTTATTGAAATCCTTGGGATCTTAGAAAGGTTTTCCAGAAAACCCTCAAAAACTTTGACGCATCATTTTCTTCGGCTTTTTGAATTCACCGTCGAATAGAGCATCCAAAATTAAGGATTCAGTCCAAATTTCACATTAGTTCTAATCTACTATCTCAGCACATTTGACTCTATCAATAAATATGTGTTTAAACGAAATCAAAAAAAAACTTGTTCAGAGATCTCTTTGGGGAACCACAGGTTTTAGAAACCTTTTGGTGAGCTATACGAAAAAAAACCTATGGAATATCACCAGGAGTGATGTCTTACTTCAAATCGATAAAAAAGAACTAATTTTGTTGGGAGCAAAAGAATGATCTTATCAGCCCTCGTCCTTTAAGGAAGAGAGCGAATAGTTTGATAGAGATTTTTGTATAGGAAATGAATTTGGTCATCCAGAATGGCTTGATTTTCCTCGAGAAGGAAATAATGAAAGTTATAAATATGCTCGTCGGCTCTTTTATTTATGTGAAGATGATACAGTGAGATATAAATATCTTAAGGCATGGGATAAAGCAATGAATGATTTGGAAGAAGAATATAAATGGTTAACAGCAACAAATACAGTAAACGTTTCGATTAACTATTAGAATTTAAATAAGCTTTGTTTTGTAGTTTGTTAGTCGGAAAAATGAAGGTGATAAAGTTATAGTATTCGAACGCGGCGATCGTGGTCTGATGTTTATATTTAATTTTCATGGCAGTAACAGTTACGCTGATTATCGTATTGGATGTGGTCAAAGTGGAAAGTAAAAATGAGTAATTCTTGGTTTTTTTTTCTGGTTAGAAAGTTTGTCCTTTAGATATAAAGTTGTACTTGATTCGGATGCGAAATCTTTTGATGGACATGGAAGAATTAATAATGAACAAATCTTTGTTGCTGAGAATATCATGTGGGATGATCGACCATTTTCATTTCAGGTATATTTAAATGAAGATTTTTATTAATAGAATTTATTTGTCTTTCCTTAGGTTTATACTCCATGTCAGACTGTGCTCGTTCTTGCTTTAGCTGAAGAGAAACGTTGATGGAATTTGATTCGTTTTTTTTCTAATCTTGCAAGATAACTTATTATTATCTGTTTGCAGTTTTTTGTTTCATACAACAATATACGTTAGTGAAACATTTTGTAAGCAAGATCTTTAAAAGATAATTGGTTTTATATATCTTAATCGTAACAAATACATCTGTATCTAAGATCTTTGTAAGATCTGCTCGAAGATTCCAGATACCAAGATCATAGAAAAAACTAGTAGTTCTGATTATCTTTTTCCAAGATCTTGAATAAAATGAAAAGCGACATCACTAATTTATTTAGATATTTAAAAAGTTTTGAATTGCTTGTAATTATGTTCCAAAATTCAACCGTATCGATTTCTTAGCATCATAAATATGAAAGAGATTTTGCAACATTGTCAGCATCTATCAACCAATGAATTAAAGATATTAATAACAAAGAGAGAAGAAAAAAGAAAAACAGTTAACTTAGCGTTATAAAATATGAATGAACTTTCGTCGAGTGATTTATTGTACATGTTGTAGACAAAATTGGAATTCAGGCAAATTCTAAATTTGCCCAGGCAAAGTTGGAATTCTAATTTTGACTAGGCAAAATTAAAATTCTAATATTGACTAAACACTCATCAGTCATAACTAGAATTCTAATTTTGCCCAGGCACATTTAGAATTTGACTGGCATGGGCGGCGCAAGGTCAGTTTTGTAGGGGTAGCAATAAACCGTTAAATGAGCTCTGCTTTCTTCTCCTTGCTCAGTCCGATTCAAAAAATTTTTTTCATGAGAACTGAACTTCTCGGATATACTGTATGCACAGCTCAAGCATTAACTTCTCTAGTAGTGCATTAAACCCGCTTTAATTAGTATATGCACTTCTTGTTGAGTACGTTTACTTCTTCAATTTTAGTCTTCAATCTCTATTATGTGTTCACAAATGTTTATTATTAATAGGAAAAAATACGTTCTTATTTGAGGATGATATAGAATTATTTTGGTCATTTTGAAAAAAAAATTTTTCTTTTATCTTTTTTCCGATAGAAAAGCAGTTCCAATAGCATCAATATCAATTTCATAATCTCGTTCAAACGGGTGTCCCATAATAAATGGCGATTTTGTATTTCAGATTTTAATCTTTAAAAGTTTTTATTAAAAAACCGAGTATACCACAAGATGTAGCGTGAAAAGCTCTAAAATTCACAAAGCAAGACTGATATTGGTTGTTTAATTTTGATTTTGAAAAAGACAAAATTCTATACGACCACTTTTCGAAGGTGTCAAAAAACCATTTCTTCGCTCTTATTTTATCTGTGTATCTCTTAACATGTTTTCTTTAGACAAGTATAATACACCAGAAGGTGCAGCGTGAAAAGATCTACAATCCGCAAAGTAAAGCATATTTTGGTTGCGTAATTTTTGTTTTAAAAAAAAAGCAACATTCAGTGAGAATGATTTCCATTGTATCTAAAAGATCATTTTTCTATTCCAATGAACAAATCATTTTTTTCTTATTTCATCCTTTTATCACCTAATCGGTTTTATCGCATACACCTCAAGATGTAGCGTAAAAAGTTCTACAGTGTACAAAGTAAAACTTTTTTAATCGTATACTTTGTGTTTTGAAAAGAGCTAAGATTCTATGAGACCGTTTTGCGCAGCGTCGAAAATTGATTGCGCAGAATTCCATTTATTTTCAAAAAATACCTAGTATACAATTAAAATAAGCTTTCCTTTGTAGCTGCATAGATCTTTACGCTGCATCTAGTGCTATTTTCTGTGCTTTTTTAAAATGTATTTAAAGATTAAAATATGAAATAGAAAAATTGGCTATTTATTATGGGACACCGATATATATTGCGGAAAACAGATACATCAGGATAGCAATAAACAATTCCTGAGACTAAAATTCAATCTTCATACAAAATACAGAATCACATAAATATATGTATGTTGAATAAAAAAGTTTTACTCTAAAATATACAGGAAGCGTGAAAAATTACAGGAGGCAATAAGTTCTTATTGATTCCAATAATTTATTTTAGGGGTTGCAATTGCTAACTATTGCATTGCTGGCGCGCCGCCTATGTTGACTGGAGATAAATTCATACAAGCACGTGCTTGACTAAAACTAGAATAGACTGAAAAAAAAAGAGGGAAAATTAATCGTAGCGTTCACGTCGATAAGTGGTATAAATATTGATGTACACATTACAATGCAATAAAAAAAAATGTCTGAATTTGATTCAACCACCATCCAAATCGATAATGGTGTGGATGTGGGTGTAGAGTGCGGGATAGTGTTGCCAGATGCTAAACTTGAAAATCCGGAATTCCAACTTGAAAATCCGGAAAATTCCGGAATTTTTTTTCTGAAATCCGGCAAAAATCCGGAAAGATTTTTTAGTATCAGTTTTGATTGTTTAACGTGCATATTTCCTCCTCAGATTATCCATAATGCTATTCTTTATCTTCACAAAATATATTTGAGTGAAACAATAGAAAATAAAACACACATCAAGTGTATTCTTTTAGAAATTTAAATTCTCCTAACCATTTAGATCTGAATCTTCTTTTTTCTCTCTTGTTTACCGTTTTGTTTTATATTAGTTTCAATGATGTTGGGTTGTGCTCTTAGTGATCGTTCATTTTCTACTAAAATTTCTGCTTCTTCATTTTGATCAAACATTCATTCTGAAAATGTAAGGGGAAAATAAAGGCTGAGTACAAATTATCATTTTTTTACTGCTGTTGATGAAAAGGAAAGTCATTGATCTTTTAGGTAGACCAATAGCAGAAAACACTAAACCTCTAAATCAGTACTAATTTGTTTAGAAATTTAAACCAATAACTGAAATACTATTAGGATAGATGGAAAGCATGCAAAATCTGAAAAAACCGTAAATGTGTAAAAATTCGGAAACAATCCAGAAACAGCCCGGAAAATCCGGAATCCAGAAAAAATCCGGCAGAACTTCTAAAATTCGGAAGATCTGGCAACAC